TTTGAGCAGTTTGGTTTGTTATCGGTTTACGGTCCGTAACGGGTTGACAGGCTGTTGTCATAGATTCCCCTATGAAGAAGAAACACAGACTTTAAGCCTCAGGGCATCCGGAAAAAAGTGAATAGTATATTTCTTGATTGGAGCAGCAAGCATGAAAAGATCAATTTAACCTTTTCCCTTTCTCAAATCATATAGTGAGGGTAGAAGCTATTGTCACGTCTCTGTTATCGAGACATTTGGATTTCTTCTCATAATTTGCCCCGGCCATCTGTGTCTCATTTCTTGCGTATTATTGCTAGTCATTAGATTGACTTATATTTTCTTGCTAGAATGGTTATTATGCATAAAATACCACGATGTGATGCTCAAACACTTAAATAATTGGGTCTTGGGTAGTTGGGTATGAAGCTGAAATGGAAATTCTCAATTTGAAGATATAAGGACACTGAGTTGTTTGAAATAATATCTGGTCGATGCAGCATCTTTCTCAACTTGGTGTTCTACCTTGCCTTTGAAATATTCTCTGGTTGCATATTTGCATCCTCCAAATCCATATAACATAATTAAGTTACTGCTAAGTAGAATATTGGAATCTTGCTGGAATGCGCTTTGTGAGGAGTGATAAACTGGTAATATTGGGTAAACTTTGATGTTAGAATAAAAAGTACCTGTTAATTTCTTGTCCTCGGTTGATCTATCTGCAATCATTAATGTTGTTAAAGAGCTTTTCTATAGATATGTGAGCATGCTGTTTAATTGTTATGCTTAATCTGAAGTCAGTACACTGCCATAATTTTTAGCTTCGTTCAGTTTATATCTTATGTTATGTATTAAAATTAATTGACTATTTGCATGAAAATTTCCAGTCATGCAATCCTTATGTACCTTGCTTATGCATTTCCTGGAGTGGCAGATCATTGGTAAGTCCATCCCCTTACCCTCACGAACCTCTGAATAGTTCTTTTATCTATGTACTTTTTACTATAAGAGACATCAATATGACACATATCATCTTCTGATGAATATTTTCCCACAAAAAGGTTTTCTTTCTTTCTTTTTATTATAATTTACTTGAGTCTAATGTCTATAAATTACTTTATTTTTTAAACATACCAAATCTCATTGTATACGTTTTTTGTTTTTTTTTTTTAATTATTTATTATTTATTTTTTTTAAAAATAAGTGAATCAATATGGAAAAAATAACTGTCAATATTTAAACAACTTATTAGACCTCCAATGAAACCAAAAGGATAGGATAAACTAAAATGATTTGACAAAAATTATGAATTATATAATAAAGTTCATTTCAAGTAATCATCTTCTTTTAGTAGAAGTCACACTATTAGATATTTAGATTAATTATTATATAAACTAATACTGGATTATGCCAACAAATAAATAAAACATCTTCTTTTTGTAGATGTTGCACTATCTGCCTCATTATTTGGCATAATACTGGATTCTCTTTCACTTATCTGTTTGGCACCAATCTATACCCTATTACTCTTCATGCATCGATTCGTGATTGATGATATTTATTACTTGAAGGTACCCTGCTGATGTTAACAAGAGAGTTAAGATCCATTCTTGATGTGTCTATACTACATAAAATTTGACAAACTAGATTCAATTATATTATCTACAACTATGAAATATCACATATGCTGTAAACTAGAAACAGATTCATGACATCACTGGTAGCCTATCCTTTTTTCCTAGCCCCCTAGCCTTTATTGTGGCTTTGTATCCAGTGGCGGACCTGGCCTTGTGCCTGGTGGGTCAAGTGACTCACCAGGGCCCAAAAAAAAATCTAAGATTTAAAAAAAAAAAAAAAAAAAAAAAAATTGGTTTCTGGGAAATGGGGTTTCATGGAGTAGATAAAGCTCAAAAGTTGCTTAAATGGAGGAGAGAGAAAATATCGGGCAAGCTCACGAGCTACTTCAATGGAAGAGAGACATTGGAGCTGCTTCAATGGAAGAGAGAGAAAATGTCGGGAAAGGGAAACAGAATAGGAGAGAGAAAATTAGGGTAAGTGTGAGAATTTGAAAAGACGATATGTGAGATGGAATTTGAAAGTTTGAGAGGAAGAGATTTCAGGGATGGCCATGGGAGCTAGGTGATACGAAGGAGATAGAAGATAGTTGGATTTATTTGATATATTGTTTTCTTTTTCCTTCTTTTCATATACATCATTATTACTTTATTAGAATACTGTGCTAGGTGATGCTCTAAAATTGATATACCCTGAAATGAAATGATATTAAATAGACTTGCTTATCTGCAAAAGCAAGAGTACTTCTCCTGATTTCAAAATGTGTCAGTCTCTCAATTTTTAGATTGCTTTCCAAACTATTGAGCCAATCTGAATATCGTTCATTATGCACTACTTTCTGCATTTTCCAAAACATAATCTTGTTTTTTTTTTCAAGTATTAGCATGCTTCTTTTCTTTCTTTGGCTCTTAAAAAAATGAAGCAAATATCCTTAACAGTTTGTGTATTCCTCGTGTAGTTTCAATGGCCACAGTTTGTGTTAGGGTCTTTGATTCTTGCTGTGATGTTGATATAATTGAGCTGGACTTAATTTTGTAAGGGCTTGGATTTGCATGAATTTGACCCAAATACAAATCCTAATGACTGTATTATCCAAACAGGCCCAAATGGGAATTTCAAATGAAATCCGCATATCCAAACAGGCCATAAGAAAATTCCCAGAAATTTCATTTGGGAAATAATTTCCCGTGAAATACAACTTCTTATGGAAAATTATTTCCCTTATCAACCAAACGAGTTATTACTTCATACTGTTGTTTTGTGTCCTCTTGTTGCCTTCGATTCTAGTCCTGCTTGCTTAATGCTTATCAACAACACTTCTGTTTTGTGTCCTCTTGTTGAAGATCATATGCATTTCGCCCTATTTCTTACATTGTTGTTGTTTTTGCGAGTGTTTTGACCTAAGTTTCGTATATTTAGTTGGTTGCATATACTTAATATTTAGTTCTTTAATGTTATTTAGCTTCTGAGAAAGAGGGTACAAGAACAGAGGATATATGGTTTCTGGGTTTTTGAATGTATTTTTTAGTACTATTATTTGGTTGTTTGGTAAAAAAATTTTTTTTACATATTTGGTTATCGATTGTGACTCACCAGTCGGAAATTCCTGGGTCCGCCACTGTTTGTATCATATGCCAAATTTCAAAGCAGACTCCTTGTGTGCAGCCAGATAAATCTTTAGCAATTCATGAGATTTTTTTGTCATAATTTTTATGTTACTAGATGACATTGGCTCTCTCTACTTAGGTTCTATATGGTCCACTGCACAATGCTGTACTGCAAAATCGTTTTCCCCATTTTTCTGTTACATTGTTTGGATCGGTCTAGGAAAGGAAAAGTTGGGCTTCTTCCCAATATCTTGCTTTGAAGAATGATTTCATTTGCTTGTCCCTATGTCCTTTCAGATTTATTACCACCCTTTTCCTCTCTCCTTCGTGGGGTGTAAATTTCCTTAATTAGTAGTCCTTTTTGCAAAATTAATGAGTTAATAAACTGGTAATAAGCTGGAATTATAGTAACAACTAACAAGCATAAAAAATTCTTGAAACTTTTTGGGTTAATTCCTGTGGTGATTCTGTGATGCATATGGTATCTACGAGAATTGTGATGGAGGAAGTAAGAATTTTGGTTTGGGATTAAAATAAGTTCAAGGAAATTTTCTACGCTACCAATCAATGGAAAATTTATCAAAAATTGAGCCCCTGCCCTAAAAATGTACTTTCTTCTGAGTTCTTGATAGGCGTACCCTTTCTGTATATCTTCCCATTTTTTCATTGGCATTGACTCTCAAAATGTCAGGTGGTGGACAATTGGCTGGTATTATTTTGGGATCTGCGCTTCTGCCTTCTGGGCCATATTAGACGTCTCTATCTCACCCTCTGCAAGCATCCTTCCCCCATATGTTGATAAATCCTTAGTTGACATAATTGTTGTAATCCTTTTCTCTAGTGAGAGTCTGGTTCTCTTTTAGCGTCATGCTCCTTAGACCAGTTTGTTAGAGAGGAATACACAATGCCTGTCTGATTCTCATCGTATAATGTAGATAGAAAGATAGATGGAGTAAATAGGTGGGTGGATGGAAGAAAAGTTGGATAGAGTAAGAGATTGCAAATGTGTTATGTGTATGTATTATGAGGTAAAGGGATAACTAGGGTTAATCAAATGGTAAAAGGTGTTTGCCAAGAACATAAATATAGAATAGGGGAGAAGGGGAAAAACACCTCAAATTGGAAACTGAGTAGAAAGGGGATACTCTAATGGGAAAATTTTGCTCATTAAAATTTAGACCAACTTTTTTTAATTACAATAATGCTTCCTTTATATTGTTATTGAAAATGAAGTAATTTGTCTTTAAAAAAAAAAAAAAAAAAAAAAAGAAAGAAAGAAAATGAAGTAATTTGACTTTGAATTGATTCATTCAGCTTTGTCTAGAGGGCAGTGATCATCACCATTTTGCCTTTGATTAAGTAATGATGGTTTGAAGGTCAAATTTGGTTACATGTTCAGTTAAAGGTAGCGTTAGCTACATTACTCTAAAAAAAATGGGTGATAGTTGTTTTAGAAAAAAATATTAAGGTAGAAATGATATATATCAGGTACATCTGGACAAATATTTCTTATTATTTTTAATAAAGAAAAGTTTGCTACTATTACCGATAAAGATTGTATTGAGCATTGCTGTGCTTTCAATATAATTTATATAAGAAAGAACAGCAAATGATAACTTGCTTATTATATAAGCGTAGACATTGTGTCTATTCTGTCTGATATGTAACCCAAAATTTTCAGTTCTCATTTGTGCCTTTTTATGGGTATATTTTGGTGTTCTAAGCATGAACGAAGCTCTTAAAGCTGGTATGGCTATAAGTAATTCTTAGATCCTTTCTGGAGCCAGTGTAAGCTAGTTAGCTAGGTAGAGTGTGACGTTCAGTTTTTCTTGGTTTTAGGTTTTGGATGAAAAGGATCGTGCTAGGATACTTAGTCCATACAAGAAGGTTCAAGAGTGGATTGAAGCTACAAAGGCTTCAACACAGCCCCATTTTGATGATGTTCATGGGATTCTTTACAAAGCCAAGATAAAATTTCAGAAGCAAAGAGAAATTGCAACATTGCAATCAAAGATGTGAGGAATCTAATTCTAGAACATCTTCCTTACATTCTGGCTTTTGGTGTACAAAATACTAGAAGCTAAGAGAATTCTCGACTCTAGTATATGCTGTAATCTATACGTAAAAATACTAAAGAGAATTAGATGAAAGTTTATTTGGTCGAAACTCTTTTTTCAAGCCCCAATAATGAAGTTCAGTGTTTGATTCTTATCAACCCAACTTTAATATGAGTAGCAACAAGCCCCCTCGTCATATAGTGATAAATAGGCATTTTTACTCAACCCATATATCTGTAACTCCAACTTTGTCCAATATCTTTGGTCTTTTGTAGTTCTTCAGCAATAGAGATCCACAAACAACACTAACTGATGAGGCAGCCATTGCTGCTCCTGCAATCCATGGTGGTAAGCGGACTTTAAGTAAAGGGAACAAAACCCCTGCAGCAATTGGGATCCCTATCATGTTGTAACCCAATGAAAAAATATAATTCAAATGTATCCTAGAGAAAGTTTTTCTTCAGAGGTCGATGGCAGTTATGACATCCTCTAAGTTGCTCCTCATGAGAACAATGTCTGCTGCTTCTATGGCTATGTCTGTTCCTGCACCGATAGCCACTCCGACATCGGCTGCCACTAATGCAGGCGAATCATTAATACCATCTCCAACCATGGCCACTGCGTAACCTTTAGCCTGCAACATATGTTATCAGTGAGATGGTGAAATACATATGATTGTAAGTTTTTGGTGAGTAGAACATGATGTGACAGAGGTGGTATGAACGTGGCCAATAAGAGCTAAGAAGGAAAATTGTAACTTAAATTTTTTCATTAATGGAAATCAAGGCCAAAATGTAAAGGATTAAAATAAAATTGAGTAATAGCTCCTCTAGCACAAGAGGGGCTCAAGATTACCAGTAATTCCTTCACCTTTTCTGCCTTTTGCTCAGGCTTGGCTTCAGCAACCACAGTTTCTATTCCTACTTGTTTAGCAATGGAGTAGGCTGTTCCCTTGTTGTCACCTGTCATCATAGTGCTCTTGACTTTCATAGTCTTAAGAATCGATATGACTTCGGGTGCACATGGTTTCAGAGCATCAGAAATTGTTATTACCCCTGCCAGTTCACCATTAATAGATACCAGTATGCCTGTTTGGGCCATACTTTCTGCTTCAGCGAGCATTTCCTCTGCCTCAGACGGAATGTTGATTTTCTGGTTCAACATCAAGTCCTTGTTTCCAACAATAATCTCTTTCTTCTTAACTATGGCCTTGACGCCGTGACCACTAATGGCAACAAAGTCCCTTGCTTCTTCCCAGGTTTGTTTTCCTTCATCTGCTTTTAACTTCCGAGCGTTCTCAACGATGGCCTTTGCTAATGGGTGCTCGCTGTTGATCTTCCAGTTATACCCAAAGAATAGTGATTATTGGGATTAGCAGTGTGATAAAAGGTAAGGAAGTAAAACTATTTCCAATGAACTTTATAGGATGAACATTGATCGTACATTGTGATTTGTTAACACAGCAGTAAAAACGATTGTGGTCTGGGAATTAGTTTGTTCTATGAAGTGAATATTACCTCAGCAGCAGCTACCAATTCATAGAAGTCTTGTAACACCATTGGTCTCAGAAGTCGCGTGCTCACAACTACTGGTTTACCCTCTGTAAGAATCCCAGTCTTATCGAACACAACGCAATTCACCTACAGCATGAGGTTACAAATAAATCTTAAGCATGGGTGTACTTTAGTGGCCATCATTCTTTTTATCCTAGGAGCCTAGAAATTTGATACGTTATCAAGTTTTAAGTTATCAGATTCCATAATAAGACTATAACATACCTTATGAGCGATTTCAAGAGCTTGGCCTCCTTTGATTAGGACACCTTGAGAAGCCCCAACCCCTGTACCGACCATAACTGCAGTTGGAGTTGCCAAACCCAGAGCACAAGGGCAAGCAATAACTATAACTGAGATGCCAAACTGTAGTGCAAGCTCGAAGCTGTCCATGGATGAAGGTATCCATGATTTTGGGTAGCTGTGGAATTTTCCGGCAAGAAACCATGCCAGCCAAGTTGAAAATGCAAGAAGGATGACCTGTGGGAATAAAGTTCTAAATTAGAGTTGAAGGCGGTGACAAAGTAAAATCGTTAAAATGTTGCTGACTAACCAAAGGCACAAAGTATCTTGATATACGATCTGCAAGCTTCTGCACAGGTGCTTTGGCCATCTGTGCTGACTCAACAAGGCGTACAATCTGAGAAAGTGTGCTTTCTGATCCAATGCGTGTTGCCTTAATATGTAACACCCCGTTTTGATTCACTGTCCCTCCTATTACTTTATCACCCTTCCTCTTCTGTACTGGCTCTGCCCCCAAACTACTAAACCATCACTAGGTATTTTAGCCCCGGGAAGGACTTTGAGCACATCATTCTTGTGTGTCAACTTGGTATCGATTTCTTTTTCGTTTAGGATATTCCCATCTGCATCAAGAGTTAACAATGTTGCTGTTTCAGGGGCCAAGTCCATTAGCTTGGCAATTGCTGCAGATGTCTTCCCTCTGGCCAAAGACTCTAGATACTTCCCTAGAAGTACAAAGGAAATGAGCATCGAACTTGTCTCAAAGAAATCTTTACCCGTAAACGTCTTAGAGGTAGCAGCTCTAAGCACTGTGTAGACCGAATAAAAGTAGGCTGCATTAGTCCCTAAGGTAATCAAAACATCCATATTAGGAGAACCATGCCTTAATGCTTATGACCCAGCACAAAATCTCCAACCGATTATGTATTGGACTGGAGTTGCTAACACCCACATTAGCATCTCACCAACAGTAAGCATCTTCACAACTTTGGCATCAAGTACATGCTTAACACCCGGAATATGCTCAAAGATCATAGATGTCAAAAATACCGGGATCATGAATATTAAACTCCACAGGAATGATCGATAATACTGCATCTGTTCCTGTTTGTGAGAATCCCTTCGCTGTTCTTCAGGATATATCATCACCTTGAATTGCTCTGATCCAGTTGACTCGATCACTTCAATAAATTTTCTAGGTCCTGTAATACCAGACTTGTAGGAAAGTGAGATTTTCTGAAGTTTCAGATCCATACCTATAATTTGAACACTAGGAAGTGCTTCCAGTGAGGTTTCAACCAATTTCCAAGATTGGTCAGTTTCTATACCTTCAACCTTTAGGTGCACTTCACTTCTATCTTCTCCTGTGCTGATAAGTACAGCTTCAAACCCGCTATCTTCCACAGCTTGAAGCAGCTCATTGTAGCCAACCAGCTCCGGATCAAAATGAATTTCGGCTTCTTCAGTTGCTAATGCAATCTGAGCCTTTTTAACACCATTAACTCCCAGAAGATTACCTTGAATGGCATCTTCACAAGTAATGCATGTCATGCCCTTTATGTGTACCATACATACTTGATTTCTTCCATTACTAATCTCATCATTAATCAATGCAGTCTGGAAGCCTAAATCTGCAATGGATTCACATGCTTTTTCTTCCTGTAGAATCAGACAATTTCGATTTGCCAGCATTCCTAACAATGGTGTGATAGTTTGACTTAAATAGTCTTGGGTGTACGATACATCTAGGTGTAGGTGTTATCATTTAAACCATTAATATCGTCAACAGCCTTAGCAGCTTTGATTATCTGCTTATATTCTTTAAGTATCCGACCAATTTAGAGAACTAAAGCAGTTCAAGTGTTCAACCAACTAATAAAAAAAAGTAAAAGATAGGTAGACAGATGATGCTCACATTAACAAAAGAGGGATTGAAAAGGACTTGTGCCCTGCTATTTGGAACGTCGATGATAGCCTCTACAATACCGGGAAGTTGCTTAATAGCTTTCTCGACAGAAGCAGCACTTGCAGAAGTCATTCCCATCACTGAAAACACAGCTTTCGATTCACACCCTCCTGTCTTTTCTGTAACAGAAACCCCTTTCAGGGATTTTGGCATCGAAGGGGATTGAGTTTCTGGCGACAAATCTATCCTGCAGCTGTTGCTGCGTATGCATGGTAACGCGAAGAGTTTTGGTGTTGCCATGGATTCTCACTCTCCTCTTCCTCCTAAAGTAAATCTCGCTCCGTATGTATTGTTGTTTTTCAATTACAGCTGACAAAAACTTGTACTCCGTGAAAGTATTAAAAATGCATGCAAAGATTTTTCTGCATGACCAGAATGTTCAAACTTTTGAAATTCTAGTTATGCCAGTGAAGATGATAGTTATTCGAAGTCAAACAATTAGCTAATGTGATGAACTGTTGACTTGTCAAGTATCACGAGGGTTGGATTTTTTTTTTCTTTTCTTTTTGGTGTTCAGAGAGCTGCAAGGGCAGAGTGAGAATCAAACCCAAGATCGCTTGAAACCTTAAGGGAAGCTCTATCCACTTGACCTATCTCTCACTCTCATGGAGGTTGGATTCAAACACTAAGAAAATGAGAAAAGTTTCATTTGAAAATTATTTAGGAACAAAGGAGTAGTTTCTTCGGTTTATTATTTTAAAGTGAATTTTTTATGTTTTCTAGTGCAGGTGATTTTTTGGAGGATGTTTTAATGGCTACCAAGACCAGGCCAAGAGAGTTTAGTTTTGTAATCTTGCACTCCGTAATGATTTTACATATAAAATTTTCAATTAAGAGGATAATCTTGTCACATTCATTTGTTTGACTATAAAAACAAAACCCAGTTTCTCTATTTTGTTCTTTTACATCTAAATAAAAATAAAATTTAAAGTCGTTAATATAATGAAATTTGCTTAAAAATTTAAAGTTGTTTTAATGAACATATCAAAGGTTTTTTCTAGATAACTGGTGTTTCAAGTCCTCAAAGATCGGAAAGATTATGAGCAATATGCTTACTTCCATCAAAGATTGATAAGTACTTTAAGTGAAAAAAGTCAAAGTGCTTTTGGTCACGTGATTTTTTTTAATTTACTATGAGCTCTTTTGAGACAGTGATTCCCTTATCCTTTCTCCTACACTTTTAATAAGTTTGAATAGTGA